GGAGCTGAGTTTTCTTCCACCCAAACTGAGGAATGGAGACTGTCTGATCTCCAGCATGAGGGAAGTCTTTCACCCACCTTTTATTCTCCAACTGGGATCCCATATACTGCATGCCCAAATGCTATGGCATGTGCAGAACAGCTGTTTTCAGATTCCAAGGTAAGCTTGAGGCCATGAAACTGGCCACATGTGAAAGGATCTGGGTGATTAAATAGCCAGCTCACTCCACTGCAAATCCCAGACAGGTTCCCCTTAAGTGAAAATTCAGTTGGCATGGAGTCACCACTCTAGCATCTTCCCTGTCCCTTTGCTGTACCCCAGGTCAGCAATAAAGACTCTCTTCTTTTTGTACCAGGAGTTGAACTCAGGACCTTGCGCTTGCCAGGCAGGCATGGGTGCCACTGTGCTACATCCCCAGCCCTAAAGTCTCTTGACTGTATTCTCAAGCCTCAGCCCCTATGCATTATGGAAACAGAGCATTATAATGACCCAAACCACTGAGCAGCCCTAACTGCTCCCTGCTACCCTCCCTTATAGAGCCTGGGAAACAGGAAGATATTACAATAAAGGTGCAGGTGGGGAGTGGGGAGGACAGAAGGTGCCTTGGTTCACTTGGTGTACCTGCTCTGGTTTCCCTCACACCGTTGCTTCACCTCTATCATGTCTTCCTCACAAGTAAGCCACTGCCAAGTCATCATGGGTTACTCATCCCACAGAGCAGGAGCCCAGCCCTGGAATGAATAAGGAGGCCAATACAGCAGTGTTGGGATTGGGAGTTTCTGAGGGCAGTCCCAGTACAAGATGAAAGAGATACATACCAATTTTTCCTGTGCTCTGTGAATTTGCACTTATTCCATACATTTCTACTCCTTAATAGGTGGCCCCAAACCATCATTACCCTGTGCTATGACCCAGAAACCTGCCTGATAGCACGTGTGTCAAGTTCCTGAACCAACCAACAACTGAAGCAAACATAGCCAAACCTATTGCTGACCCTTACCCTTCCAGCCTCAGCATCCAACCAATTCTGCGAAAGATTTATTTCTTTAGTATAAGGAACTCATCTCTTTGATTTATTTTTAAATATATTTAATTCTATTCAAGAAATCCTGGAGTTTTTAGTAAATGCAGCATGCATACTAGTGGATGTTCTAAAGAACAAGCAACTCCTACAAATCAATCTCTCAGCTTCAACGTACTTCAGCTCTTCTGATGATGTTTACTATCCGAAATGCTTACATAGCATGCTGGACCTTTCTGCTTTAAACTTCCTCTGGAAAATCATTATGTCTTTGAATTTCAGGCTCAGGACCAGCCTACAGGGAGATGGTTACAAAGTCTTGAATCACATTTTCAGTTTGTAGCAAAAGAAATGATGCTCGTGGTTAATTTTTTTTGCCACGAAAATTAATGGACTATTGTTATGCTTTATCTTTTATATTTTGCTATTTGTACCCAGAAACTAGTCTTTCCTGGATCCTGTGCATAGCTTAGCATCTCTAGTACTCATAGGGGACCTATGAGTAGACCATCATAAACACCGATATGTGCTGCAGGGCTATGGAGAGGAAAGGAGAGAGACTCCAGTTGTGAATGAAAGATATATATGCAAACTACTGAGAAGATTTAAAGCAAATATGCACAACTATTATATGGTATTTAATAAATAAATACATTTTTTTAAATGGAAAGCAGAAAATCAGTGCCACTACAGAAATTCAAACAAAGAACATCAGGAAATGGGCCAAGAGTCAACCTTGATGAATAGACACGAAAAGGTAGTATTTGGGCTGAATCTTGAAAGGTCCATAGAAATTTAAACAATACAAGGTGAAGGAAAGGTGCTTTACTTTGAAAGAATACTGCAAACAAAAGCAGAATGAAAGCCTGTGCCTACTTGAAAAACAGAGTAATCAGTGAATATCTATATCAGAAACACTCAACCTTTAGTATTTAAGAATCATATGGGGAAGGATTTATCTAAAATATAGGTTATCTGACATAATTGCCACAAATTCTAACTCAGCAAGTCTGGGATAGGCTACGTTTCATAAGCATCACAAGTGATTCTGAGGTAGGTGGTACAAGATCCACAATGAGAAAGCCAGCACTGGAGACAGACAGGCTGCTTGGGAGGAGGCAATGACAGACAAGGTAGAAAGCAGGATGGAACCAAGCACAGAGAGCCTTGAATGCCATGGTGAGGAGGCTGGTCTTTATACTATTGGCCATGAAGAGTTATATTTGTGCTTTAAGGTGGTTCTATTCTGCTTGAAAGGTTTAAATTGTTCCAGCCTTTTAAAAAAAAAAGTGTAGTGTTAAAAGAAATCCACAAGCCTGAGAGTTTAGCACAGAAGCAGTAATCAGTTCACCTAGTGATTTTTATATGTCATTTGGATGTGGAGCTACTGACTGAAAGAATAAACAGGAATGAGATGAGATGGTTACTAGGACACCCTGTTTGGAAAAGGGCACATTCTCTCTAGCTGTAGGGTCACTGTGGTCATGCTCTTTCTCTAAGGAAACAGAGGCTGAATGCTAAGAAATTGAGACAAATTTTGTCTTTTTGGATTTCTCCTAGAAATGTAGAAACCCCAAGAGGTGTGTTCTATTAGTAAGAGAAGCATATATACAAAGTTCTTAAATTTGTGCATTAAAACACTCTGGAAATTTCCTTAAACTACAGGTGTCCTTCAAGAGAAGTTCTCAGACTCCCTGGTCTTAGGATCCCTTAATCTCCTAGAATTTACTGAGGACCCCAACAACTTTCTTTATGTGGTTTATATCCATATCTATTTATTCTTGAAACTAAAGCCCTCTAACCTATTGAAACAATAACCTGTTAACATAATCTTTTAATTTTTAAAAATCCATTCTCCAAACAAAAAAAAATTAATGAGAAAAGTGAAACTGTTTTGCATTTTTGCAGGTTTTGCTTCACAGAAAACAGCTAGATTCTCATGCCTGCTTCTCCACTCAATCTCCTGTAACAGTGCATGTCATGGGGCCTCCAGCAAACTCCTTTGTGCGTGCTCAAGAGAATGAGTAAAGGAAAAGTCACATATTAGTTTTATTATGAAAATAGTTTGGGCTTTGTAGAACCCCTGAACCAATCTCCAGGGCCCTGAGGTCTACAATATTCCTATTGCAGATTTCATCAGGGCTGCAAATCACTAAATGGTGCCCAGGCGAACCCTGAAATACCAAGTGCTGCCCAAATCCAGAATGATGAGGAAGGTGCCCAGGAAGATGCCTAGGTCTAATCTGTTTAGGACCAGGTGACAGAATCAAAATTAGGTTAAGCAGCAACAGTAGGTAAAGATGAATGAAGATATGTCAAAAAGTGTCAAAACTTTCTTTAAATTTCATTGTAGAGGAATTCACAACCCTGACTATGCATCAAAGACTCTTGTTTTAAAAATGAGAGATTTTATTTTAAAAGGTAGCTGTCTATGCCCTATTTCAAAAGATTCTGAACTCCACTAGGGTAGGGGCTGGGCACCAGCTTCACAGATGATCCTAATGTACTGTAGGGTTAAAAACATCTGCTGTAGCTCAGATGTTTCTAATTATATTTAAGTTACATTAATTTTTATTTGTATTTCTAAATGAAAGCATCTTCCTAGGATTTTATCTACACCTGAGAGATGCCTGCTTTTTAAAAATTCATTGTCTGACAAGCATAGTCTACTGAGAAATAAAGGCTTTTCATACATACATACACACTACCTTTTAAAATCTAACCCCTAAATTAAAGGGATGGAAAAATGCCACTATTATTCAGGAAACAAATAATGTATGCTTTGTTTCTATAATAAACATTTAGAAGAGTTTGTTCCTAATGGAAACTCATTGTTACTGAATAAAAATCTACTTGGGGAGGGGAAAAAAGCACCTTCATATATAATCTACATTGGGGATGCAAATTGGAGAGAAACATACACCAAAGGATTTGCATCTAATCAAATCTAAAGCAAGTTCTTTCAGAAGCATCCCTACCCCATGCAGAAGGCTTTCCACCAGGATCAGGCTTAGCTGTCCAGAAGATCAGGATCATTACCAAGGAGTGGAGACCACTCAATAGAAGCCTTGCTTTGCTGTTGGGAAGGAAATTTACCAGAATCACCGAGAATGGAAAGTGGTAAGTCAATGTCAATTAATACAATAAAATAAAAAATTTTAATAATCATAATTTTTATTTTTGACATCGCAGAGCCATAACATAAAGCAAAAGTAGAGAAGAAATAGCACTAACTTTGACCATATAAAAATATAAAAACTCTGACTGGAGACCAATGTTTAGAACTCTTGGTAATACTTTAATAATTCTAATTATATTTAATTACTACTTGTTAGATTTAATTTTTCTGCATTAAAAAGATCAAATTAATTGAACATTAATTTTGTAAAATGATGACTTGAATATTAATACACTGTTTTCTAGTATGGTGAAAATTTATATTAAATTTAACAACCTCCAGTAAGTCCTCAATTATAAAGCCCAGAAAAAAACTGCATTTATATAAAACTTTAAATATCTTTCATTCAGGTATCTTACTTTAGACTTTTAAGGAAAAGGATAAAGGATATTCTATTAACACATGACAAGGAAGAGATTAAGATGTTATTTCCTGAATTCAAACTACATATAGCTCTTCCCAGTTTGTTCATCCTGAAGATACAAATGTTAGTGTCAATACAGAGTAAGCCCCACAACATCAGGAACAAACTTGAGATATAAACATTAGCATTTTAATTTTTTTTCCAGTACCAGGGATCGAACTTAGGACCTTGTGCTTGCAAGGTAGCCGCGGTGCCACTGAGCTAAATCCCTGACCTGACCCTAGCATTTTAAATGTTAATAAATGATGATGAAGGAAATACTTCAAAAGTATCTTGAAAGAAAAATTGGTATTTTTTAAAATGACACATCTTTTCAAAGTCTGATCTTAAAAGATAAGCAGATAGCTAAAGTTCTAAGAGCATCTATCTTTTGCACCATGGAATTGATCACTGACAATCATGCTGTTTGGGATGAGCCTCAAAAGGTGAGTGGGGAGGGGAAGTTAGAAGAAGCTATGGATACCTGCAGTGCAGGCAAACCAAATTTCAGCAGAATCTTAACATGTTGGCTAAATATTTGACCTTGCATCTTTAAAAGTTCAGTCTATATTTCAAATTTAAGAATTTATAAACAATAAGTATTATTTTCTGCCTAGTAATTTGAACATTTCAAGATTAGCTGGTGATCTTAGAGTCTCTGTGTTGCCTTTCCTTGTGTTCTCCTGAAGAGTTCCACAGCAAAAATACTGTATCATCTTCCCAATCAGAAGTGGAACCGCAAACCCTGAGAGGTCACAGAGCTGGTACCATTTGCTCCTGTAGTGGGCTCTGATCCTCAATAAGGCAGGCTGAGCTGGGATAGTGGGGTAAGGAGAGGACACCCACAGAACCAGGGCTGGCAGACAGTGACGCAACACACCATATTGCCCCTGTACTGTCTGGGGCCTCACTCTTGTCATGAGAGGCAGAGAATGGAACAAACCTGTGTTTGCCCATCAATAACACGTTGTTCAGGGTTTTTATTCTGTTACGTCTTGAGTGACAATATCGAAGTTATAATTCAGAGAGATGTCATCCACTATCTTCATAGGGCCGTTGTCTAGTTTAGTTATAGAACTCAAACTATATATTCTTTGCTGAAGTTATGGGATGTCTTCTTTTTTTGGTACCGGGATCGAACTTGGGACCTTGCGCTTGCGAGTCAGGCGGTGGCACCACTGAGTTAAATCCCTGGCCCTGGATGTCTTGATTTTTCTCTTTTTTTTTTTCTTTTGTTTCACATGATCTCTTTATTCCCTTAACTTATGTTCCAAGCACTTGCTTAGAAACTTGAAAGATTTAAAAGCAAAAAAATATACCCCATAAAATGTCTCAAAAATAATAAAATAAGAATGTGTTCCAAACACGACAGGTGTACTTATCATATAACAATAAAAACAGTTTAGGGATTGCCTATATTTTAACTATTAAACCAATTTCAGAATTTACGTATTCAATTTGATGGAAAAATGTTTGTTTTTCAAAATCAATATTAAACCAACACCACCACTTAATCTACTATTGACCACATTCTGCATTAGAGAAAGGAGGATGCAGCAGAAACAATTTGCTGCATGTACATAATCACAATCCTACTGGCACAATTTTCTTCTACATTCTCAAAGATGAATTGATTCCTATTGATAAATTTGCTTGTGCTTTCTCTCCGGAAACACTTGTCTTTGTTTTCTCAACAACTGATCTGAATGCAAGTTTGTATCTAGAGTATTTGAATAAAAACTCTTAAGCTCTCCTGGGCTATGCAGGTGTGGATTCTTTAAATAAACACAATGCACAGGGAAAAAGGTTTGAAAGTAGGAATTCTGGCAACATTTTGTACTACAAATATCACTTCTGTCAAAAAAAAAAAAAAAAAGGATGGGGTAGATAAGACATTTTCAGACTCTTATGAAGGAGTCCACGTGACACACACTACCAGCATTCTGGGAGACTGAAAACCCTCTAGGATCACAAATTTGAGCCCAGCCTGAGAAACCTAGTGGCTGAGCAAAACCCATCTCAAAATAAAAAAACAGAAAAGGGCTAGGAATGTAGCTCAATGTGAAGGCATGGGTTAGGCCTCCAGTACTGCAAAGAAAGAAGGGGGACAGGCAGCCAGGGAGGAAAGAAAGAAGGAAAAGAAGAAACGTTAAAATCATGAAAAAAACACCAAGCATGATTATAAAGAATTTATACTAGGCTCCAACTGCTTTTAAAACTATTTTAATTTATCTCTTATGCTGTTATAAAAAGGTGTTTGCTTTTCTGTATCACTGCTTTGGAGCATGGTTTATCTTACTACTTCCATTTACTCACCACCTGAGTTCCCTGAAAGCCCCAAAAGAAGGGGTTCATCCTTTTCTCTTAAGGAACTAGTCTTTCCCAAATTCTAAACAACTGCACTTTTCCTAAGACTCTGATCTTTCCTCAGTTTCTTTAAGATATGTTATAGACACCACAAACATTTATTGAGCACCTACTAGATGCCAGATACATGACGTCACTGGTCATTCCTCTTTTTCTACATGGCCTTGCTCTTTAATTTCCCTGATGCTTCCACTCCAGTACCTGACTGTTTCTGGCCTCACCTCCCTCTTCCCCTGAGCATAAGAACTGTAGCCATCGTTTGCCAAGGCTCTGTGCTTGGACATCTACTCTTCTCTTGTTGCAAAGAGCTTTATTTTCATAAACTTAATTACCACAGTTTTAAAGATGTTCCTAAGATGTATAGTTCTAACCCAGGTCTATGTTCTTACCCTATCTACTGGATATTTTTATTTTTATTTGATTATAGCATCACAACCTCCAAGTCAACATATTCAAGACTGACTTCTTTCCCCATCAAAACTAACTCTCTTTGCCTTCTTGGTTTTTCTTTATAATCATGGCATTCTGTTTGTATGTGTTTGTGTGTGTGTGTGTGTGTGTGTGTGTGTGTGTGTGTGTTGTCCCCCAAAAAAGTCTCTTAAATCTGCCCTTTGTCATTCCCACTGTTTGGGGATGCCTGTTTTATAACTTCCCTCGTCCTCAACCCATTCTAGTTTCTACCTTCTGATTAATCTTTCAAAACCTTTTTCAATTTTTTCCAAAATATATGATAAAAGACATGATACTCACGTTAAAAATTGTATTGTTTTTCATCACCTACAATATAGAGCGAGTCACATACTACATAATAGTTCAGTCAACAGCTGATTGCATATAGGACAGTGGTCCCATTAGATTATGTCACCTAGTGACATCATATCTATCCATCTTATGAACTTTAGTCCTTTATTAATTACCATTTTATTATTTGTTAAACCTATTTACTATAGACATATTTCCCCTAGGCTTTTTGGCATATACATAAATAATAAACTGCTAATTCAGATTAAACTGTCAGTTACCCAAGCCCTCAGAGAAAAGGAAAGGCAAGACTGTCAGTAAATACACAAAGGATCCAGCCTGGAGCTCTTCACCTTCCTTCTTCATAGGCTTGGCCAAGTCTACACCTACCATCAATCACTCAGGTATTTTCCTTCTTGCTCAGCCAGAATTGCTTAGGTTAGAGTTGACCTCCACTTGGCAATGCCACACACAGAACCTTATAATGGTCTTACTCTTACGTATATGCATGATTCTCAAACTTCAGAGAACATCGGTGTTATGGCTTGTGTCTAGATGTTCCCTCAAAGTCTCATTCAGTCACAGGCGGAGCTTTTCTGAGGTGGCTGGATCTAGAACATGTGATGCTGGAATTAAGGGTGTGTGATTACTAAATTAGTCCACTGATTGGTTTGGCATAGTTCTAGGTGTGAGTGCTACCCACCCTAACGGCAGGTAGCCTATATAGAATATAAAGGGACAGAAAGAAATTGCTATTGGCACTTGTGCCTTGTCACTTGCTTGCCTTCTGCCTGCCATGGACTGTTTCTCCTCTGTGTTGCCTGTCTGCCATGCCACTCTGCCTTGGAGCCAGCCAATTATGAACTGAAATCTCTACGAACTGTGAGCTAAATAAATCTTTCCTCCTTTAATTTTGGGGAATCTTGTCTTAGCAATGAGGAAAAGTAACTTAAACAATCAGAATCACATAGAAGGCCAGGCCCCATTCCTAGGATTTCCGATTCAGTACTTTGGACCAGAGGCTGGGAATCTGCATTCCCAACAAGTCCCTAGCCAATGTCCATGCTGAAGAAACAGAGATCACAGTTAGAGAATCACTAGTATATGCTCTTGATTTGACTTGTTTGTCTACCCTTGACCCTTGCCTTGTTCTAACCTTTAGTATCTGAGTTACTCTCCTACTCCAGCTGCTCTACATTTATTAGTGTTGCCTTAGTCATGGACCATACCATCCACTTGTTCCCCAGCCCCTACTCTTTTTTATTCCAATCTCAGAAGTTAAGGATCAATCATACCCTTGCCCCCAATTTATCTTTTCCTCTTCAAGACCTCCTTCCATTATTTTCTCCCTCTTCCAAAATCTTTAGTCCTTCCCTCGGTCTTTTTCAAATATCAATTCTCTCCCATCTATAAATACATGAATTATAAAAAACATAAGCAGACTTCTCCTGACACTGTAATTTTCTCCAATCATTGTCCAATCTCTCACTTCCCTTTTTTTTCAAACTTCAAGACGCATAGACTCCCTCTGTCTCCACTTCCTCTCCTGAAATTACTATCTAGCTTCTAGCCACCCCACATTTCCAAAATCATTCTTGCTAAGGCAACACTAACCACTGGATTGAAAGCAATGGATGCTTTTCTATCCTTATCTCCCTGGACCATTCTACTGCATCTGATACTTTTTCTTTCTTTCTTTCTCGAAATCTGTCCCCTTGAATTCCAGATGCTTTATTCCCCAGTTTTTACTGGTTCTTCCCCAATCAGTCTTCTCATGTCTCTTGATAAGGCTCTCTTCTCTTCCTCTAACAGTAGTCAGAAATCAGTGTCACAGGGATTCCCAAGATACTAATCTTCTCAGTCCTCGGAAGTATCCTGGCCTGTTCATTCCAGCATGCCAGACACATGTTCTTTTCTATATGTGACTCTGTCACATATGGCCTCAAAGGATTCCATCCTCTTTCCAGGTTTCATTGTCATCAAAGTCAAGATGACTCTGAAACATGTCCTAGAGCAATGGTGAAATCTGAGAACCACCCTTGAGTCTTCTCTCTCCCTTACCTCCCAAATCTAAGTAATTTTCATGTCTGACTAATCCTTATCCATCTATCTGCCACTACTCAGACCCCATTACCTCTTTCTGAATTATTCTAGAATTCTCCTGACCCACCTCCCTGCAGCTTTATGATTCTCAAATCTACCTCCCACAGGACTGCTAGAAGAGCCTATCTAAAATGCAAATCAAACCACACTGCTCCCTTGCTCAAGAGCCCCTAAAGGCTCATTGCCTACAGCATGAAGTCCACACTGTTCTATCCATATACCAAACCAATCAAGT